CAAAAACTCGCAAATTAACGCAGATCTCACTTTTTTAGAACTTTCTAGTTTTGTGGTTTCATTCTACTGAATGCCCATGAAAGTCGCCATCTTAATTGTCTGGTTCTGAGAAGTATCTACTATTCCAGAACAAAACATAGGTATTGCTTTCGCAACTTGTTAGTAGTTCCAATTATATCAAATGAACTGACCAGCTTCGGAATCCTGTACTACATTCATAATAGAAAATGATGGGGGCAGAAAGACACAGGTTCAGAGCATAAAGGTTCTTTGGAAGTCATCTCGACATAGAATGGCGGAACATTTTCTTCTCAGCTTTCCTTTTTTCGAGTCTCAGCACGCACAAGGATCGGTGGCGGTGATACGGTAACTATACCTTTATCGATCCGGATGGCACGGTCCTTTCTACGTGAACTTTCCATTTATTGGCGAATTGTTGCATTGCTTTACCATACCTCGCCTCGATTTCAACTCTTTCACGAACCATTTTCGTAAAATCATCCAACTCATCAATTCCTTCCTAAAAAGGATGCGTTTTAAGTTATCAGACTGCGAAGCGGATCTAATCAATTGTGAGACTGTCACAGAAGGGAAATCATCAGATGAAGCTTTGAAATTTGAAAAGCAAGGGTACGGTAAAAAGCCTCACACACCTCTCGAACATCGCTGTACGTACAGGGTGGGCCAAAATTATAATTTCAGCGCGCGCTCACGCTCATACCAACTTTTTTTTGAGCTTATAACATTTCATTTGGTTTCTTTCATTTCATAAGGTAGATTACACTACTTCCTTCTTAGTGATACTGAGTTTTTAGCAGATTTTAAAAATGATTCAAGCGTCACAATCCCGTGGAATAATCATCGCTTTGCATTTGCAAGCACTTTTGGCAAGGTACATCTATAGACGAATTGATGTAACAAGAAGGATGGTACATTCAACCATAGCACGCTCTCAAAAGTTGGGAAGAGTTGCAGGTGGGAGAGATTAACCTAAGAGGCCCGCGTTTATATTTAGGGGGAGTGTACAGGAACCATATCAAAAGTTTGCGTAGCAGCGAAGTTCACTCTCAGTCCAAAGCGGCTGAATGAAAGGATTTTTCATGAAGGTTTCTGGGCAATATCGTGAAGCATCATCTGCACAACGAAGCCCTTATACGATCAGACAGTGATTTCTTCAGTGAGCAGACTGAAAATAAGAGAAAGGTTGGCTCACAGAGGCTGCCCGATGGATTCGAAAAAGTCGTCGTAAATCGTCGAATTCTTGTTCACCGACGGAAGGATATTCATGGATAACAAGGTGCTCAGTAAGCGCGGCGACAAATTTCTTATGAAGCTGAAGGAAATGGAAGTGATACAGCGCTGGGCTCCCTGACCCTCTGCAACGGCCTTTGCAAGCGTCACCGCTGATGCAAAAACAGCGACTACTTTTGAAAATTGAGTAGTAACAGTTGATCTGGAGATCTGTTCGATCTCGTCGTGCGCCATAGGACACTTTGGCGATTCAAGCCTGACATACTGTCAAGGTGAAGCTGCTGACCGCAGATTAGAAATTGTCTAGAAATTTCGTAAAAGGGTCCCTGAGTTCATAACTTTCGACCAGTGACCACTTAGGAGCATTGATCTATAACCCATGGATGTCTCATTGTCAGTGTAGTCAAGCTTGGAAATAGAAGCATGCATTAGCCCAAACAATAAATGAAATAATGTCGAAAATGGCTAGCAAAAAGCTGGGAAGAACTCATTGATCTTAGCTGCGTGCCACTGTCAAAGCCGTCTATCGTCGTCCCTGAGCTAGGATGAAAGCAGAAAGAGTCAGATCTCAGTTTAAAGGTACTATTCTAATAAGAAATTAGTGAAAACACTTTTCTAAAACTGATTTGCTTTATCAGCTTTCTATTCGTTTTCGGGGATTTCACATATGTGTAATCATAATTTTGGCCCACCCTGCATCGAAATTCATCACGCGATTTAGTATTTACGCTGATCGCACGATATTGAAGAGTGCACAGTGTCCAGCCAGATATGTGAAAAGAGCATTTTCTCAGATTGGGGTGAGAGAAAACTCGAGGATTCGGCACATCTAGTTGCTGGGTTTATAGCAAGAAAAATATTCCACAGGGAAATGGTGCAAGGTCATTGATAGAGCCAAACAACTCTTCACAGCTTGCTTTCCTAAAGGCAGTGAGGTGAGGCGATACTGTCATATACGTTTAGTTATGTATATGTGCGTTAATGAACCCGCTAAACTACGACAAAGCGAGGCGGAGCAAGGTGGTTCATCCTGCATGCGTGAAGCTCGTAATCGCAGAAGTACTGCGTCAGTCTGTCATGAAAATTTCAAGAGCTCGGTTAAGCATGTAATGAAGAAGGCAATCATAAGTAATAAATTCAAAATTCACTTTTTTATGGCACTCAATAAACACGTATCTCACCTTTATTCGGCGAACATTATTTTTGTAGGCGCCAATCTCCCAGAAACCGGGAGCCAAGACATCAACCGACATACGAAAAAATGTGTGGAATTGTAAATCTAAAGCATCAGAATTCTTTGAGTTAGGCCCTATCAAGTAGAAGAAGGAAGATAGACGTTGCGAAAATGAATCATTATTGTGAGGAACGCGATTCATGTGAATAGAGGGAAAAACAGAAGTAGTGGTACACGGTGAATACAACCATCCGCGAACCCAAACCAATGCTGTGCTTGACAGTACCGAGACTGACGGCTCCTACCGAAACACAGCAGTCAGTAACCATAGATCACATAAAGTAAGTGAAAAGACTGTGAAGGAAACGTCACGAGAGGATAACGATAACGCATAGCACATATAGCCGTAAAATTTGTAACACCAAAATGTATACGACGATTGGCAGAGGGCAGTGGTTGGGAAGGAGGGAACGAGAAGGGAGGATTGGCACGGGAGGGATGGAAGAGGGTCAGAGGCAGACTAGAAACTGACAATGCAATACGGTAATTATCAGTGGTTGTTGAGGAATGAAAGAGGATTAAGAAAATATTAGCGGAATAAGAATTTTGCTCCGAGACCATGACTAATCAGCTGATCTGCAATGCCATGAAAAGATTCCTTCAAATGCGAGTGAGGAGAAGGGAGGCTGGCAGTGGTGGTGGGCGAGTCGTCGGAAGTCTAAACAACGCCTCCACCACAGACATTTATCAGCAATGATTCGTAAAAACCCCACATAACAAAGTGATGGAATGCGCTTTAATGAAGGGGAAACAATCAGAAGAGTACATGAGCGTCTAATATAATAAACGTCACTCTGTCGCTAAATGTGACAAGTCATTCAACGTCCAGTCATCAGTGGACCGTACCAAGGCACGCGAACATTTGAACAGGCAGAAAGATAAGCTTATCAACACTTCTGATGAGACTCTTTAATCTCGCCAGCATTGCATTTGCACTTTTGGTGCAACTTTTCAAGGTCACTCCATTTCTCGTGCGGGAAAGTATCATAATAGGCTTAGAAGAATTAGCACTTTCGTTTTTCAAACACTCAAAAAACATGATTTAGATTGTATGATGACGTATTTTGTGGATATCGCAGTTGAAAAAGATGTTTGGAAAAAGAGGCGACGTCATATTGTTCGGATCTTGTTCACTATTAGAGAACAAAAATCACTGGTCGAGGACCTTACCAGCTTTTTAGAATATTCGGATGTGATCCCATGTGATCCCGTGGATAGGCGGGGTGAGTTCGGAGGAGATTTCAGCAACCAATTTGCCTTGTACCACTAACAATTTCTAAGCAAAAGTCGGTATGAAGCGAACTCCTTTTTCGTTGCTAACTCTTCTTTTTGTCATTGCTGCCGAATGTGGTTAGCCAAGAAGCGCAGTTGCTCAATTCCATAAAAGGGCGCAATTGCGAATTGCATGAAATTTTCATATGCTCATCTGAAGCAAACTTCACACTATCCAACGCTACTTGACTGCAAAGCAGCAATGTCCACATATCTACGAGGAAGGTTTTTAGACTATACTGAAAGCGTGTTTGTGATGTCTGCAGTTATTCGCACCTCATCTGCGTATTTCTCCTCTACTACGTTCGACATCAGCACAGCACACTTTAGCCATGGCAAAAAGAAGAGAAAGTCCTGAAAGACCATTATTCGTATTCCCATTTGGTTTCGATTTCGGCTCTTTGGGATATACGGAACATGATTAGATTGCAGTGCAGATCCAATAGGAAAGGAAATACGACTGGAAAGTACAGCTGAAGAATCATTAGGCCGAAGATTTTTGAGCGCTACTGTATATCGTCT